AGATGCAATCATATTATCAAATCAACACGCATTGACTTAAGGAATTTGAATATTGCACACTTGTCTTAGACAAGTGGGAGATTGAAGGATTTATGTTTTCATCAAGTGCAATTACTAGATATATAATGGACCATATTATGGAGATAATTAAGTTTGTTGTTTTAGGTCGTCGTATTATCATAACTAGAGGTACTTACAATCTTTAGGTCACACAAAGGGCCTAGATTAAGCATTAGAGAAAGATGCCCATGATGGGCCTTCTCCCTCTAGGTGGCCAGCTATATGGAAGATTTTGGGTGGATTGGGCTTGCTTCCTAGTCTATTTATAATATGAATATAAATAGACTAGGTGTCTAGGGTTGAACATAACATTCAATGATCATAGAACAAACCCTAATTAGCAAACACAAACCAACCCCTCACAAGCTCTCTCTCATTCTCGTCCGTCCTCCTTGGTGTGTGCGCCGGCGGTGTGTGCACGGTGGTGGTATTCAGTTGTCCGCAAAGGTGGTGATCATGGTTTTCCTCCTTCACTCGACCAATCAAGTATTGGTGGACGGCTCATTCGAATCTCGTGGACTAAGTAGAGGAGCAACACTTGGGGCTCTATTATCTCCCTAATCGTCAGTCAATCGCTTGTGGAAATCATGCGTCAAAGGTATGCATTATGTGATTCTTTATGTGTTATGCTTGTAGATCCTGTATAGGTGCAAACAAATATGATTCGTTAAATTCCGCATTATAGTATCAGTTAGCCTATCGCATTTACGCATATTGACAATAATTATTTGATAATCCATAATTTCAATTCAATTAGGAGGGAGAATAATTTAATTATGGGTCAACTATTATATTAAATGTGATTTAACTCTTGGAATTGATTAAATGTGATTTAATAATGCTAAAAATAGCCGTGAAGAGATCGAATTTTTCCCTATTGAATTCGAATTTTTTCGTACCCTAACCCTAATTTTTCAAAAATTTCGAACCTTTAATAAGCCTAAAATCTCAATTTTGTGCTTGTTTTTATTCAAGTTCGTTTTAAATATGCTTTATGATTTTAATACCATTGATTTCATGTATAAACAATGAATTTTGGATGATCAATGATTTAATTTAAGAGTTAAATTTAATTGGGGATTATTTTTCATGAAGAACACTAGTTTTAAAATTAGATTGTGAATTTAATTTTAATATAATATGATGAATTAGCATAAAAGTTATGTTTTAATTTATCCTGGACCACGTTAATTTTATTTAACAAAAGTTGTTGATTAAAATTGAAACAAAAAAGGGGGGTTATTGCAGCAGCAACCGCGGTTGGGTGGCGCAGCCACAGCAACTGCCACTGTAGGTGGTCCGGAGGAAGTGGCGAGGCAGGGCAGCAGAAGGATCAGAAAGGTGCAACAACAACAGCACCATGCAACAGTTGTGCGGCACTGCTGCTGCTATGCATCGTTGCTGCCTATAGCAACGTACACCTCACGGTGTACGACCACCGTCGCTAGCTTCGGCTGGCCACACCACGGTAGCTGGGGCATATTTTCAAAAAAAAATGTGTTTTTTTAAAAATATTTCAAGATAATTACAAAATTATTTTGGGATAAAATGAGTTTTATTTTGGATAAATATTGTTTATTACAGGATAAAATCAAATCTTTCAAAAGTTGTTATGTTTGATATTATCCATATTTAAAGTTGTTATTTTGATAATATCCATAATTAAAGTGGTTAATTTTGTATAAGATTTGTTAAGATATTCTGAGCATATTCCAAAAGGATAATATTTTATTTAAATCATGTGATTATCCCATAATTATTTTAGGATATAATTGATTTAAAATTTTGTGATTGACTAGTAATTAGGATAGAATTTCCTAATTAGTTAGGATAATCTTAGAGGATAAATATGATTTATCTTTTAAGATTAAAATAAGATTTTATTTTATCTCATGACTAATTTAGAATATATGATATTTTATTGATGGTCATGAATAATATATGATATTATCTAATTGCATTAATTAAAAATATGAGATATTTTGGTGCCATGTTTCTTTAATTGTGAACATTTGATGTTGTAGTTTAGGAAAACATGATGAGTGATTTATTATGTGGCAATTTTATAATATATGATGTTGTTTATTGCTATATAATGACTAGTATGGCCCAGTAGATTGCTAAATACGATCTACGCATCGTGAAGTATTTTTGTAATCTTAGTATGGTCTACGTACCGATAAAGTATTTTTGTAATTTATTTTATTTTATTTAAGTAGTAGATAGAATAGAATAGAATTACAGGTTGCAGTTTATCTAAGAAGCCCATGAAGTGAAGGCCCAAAGGAGCAAGGTGGATGAAAGGGCTGGCTAAATCGGATATCCAATCCGATCCGATCTGAAATATCGGATATCCGAAAATTTCGGATCACCTAAAATTTGATCCGAATCCGATCCGAAAAAAACCGGATATCCGATTTTCGGATATCTGAAAAATTCGGATCGGATCATCGGATATCCGACCCGGATATTGATATTAAAGTTACAGTAATGGAAATTAATTTTGGAGTTTAAATAAAAATAAAAAAAATAAGACAAAAGGACCAAAAAATTATATCTGAGTATCAAATTCTCCTCTTCACCGCACATCAAACCCATCAAACTTATTTTTACTTCTCAGGTACCTTTTCTTGCTCAAATTCTATCAAGAATGATAATTCATTATCATTTTTACCTTCTAAAAAGTTATAATAATGAGTAGATCTGTTGCTCGACATCTTGTTTAATGTTGTTCAATCAACTCAAGTGTGTGGGTTTTAGTGGACCTAGTGGCCGCCACCAGAGGAGTGAGGCGTCGACGCAATGGTGGGCCCTAATGTAGTGGTGGCTCTTGTTGTGGTGTTCATTGTCGATCCTGAAGGCCTAGAGATGCTCTAAAGACTAGAATATGGAGATGTAAAGGAGAGTGAAAACCCAAGAGAAGCATAGAGATGAAGAGAGATTGTATATTGTGGGTTTGTAGCTGCGTGAATTAGATATGTAAGACATAGAGTTGTGTATCACTTAGGGTTTATATTTTTAAAATAATAAAAAAAATCGGATATTTCGGATATCCAAAATTTTAAAAATGTGATCCGGATCCGATCCGAAAATTTTCGGATATCCGATCCGGAATATCCGAAACTTGAAAATCCGGATCGGATATCCAATTTTTCGGATCGGATCGACCGGATCACGGATCGGATCGACCGGATCACGGATCGGATCAATCGGATCGGATTTTTTACCCACCCCTAGTTGTATAGGATAGCTCCCGCTGAACTATCGCCCAGCCCCCAGGGTGCACACTTACGCTGAATAAGCAACTAAAGGAGGGCTCATCAGCCCGGCAGAATCAGCCCGCAGGGCTGACCAGGCTAAACTCTCCACGAAGGAGATAGTACGCCTATAAATAGAGGGTAAAGTACAACGAAAAGGAGGTTAGACACTCAAGTTATTACACTTTCCATATCTCTCTAAGTACACTTTCTCTCTCTAAACACTCTCTAACTTAAGCTTCGGATGGGGGTTCCTCGAGCCACCCCCGAGGGCAGTTTACGTGTGTTGTCGTGTGTAGGTTGTTGACGGGACCCAACTTACTCAGCAGAACCCTTGGATCCATACCTGGAACAATTGGCGCTAGAAGGAGGGGATAGGATCATCTAACCTGAGGTTCACCAACTGAGCTAGGGACTAGTTAACTAACCACTATGGCCAGAGAAGAAACTGTACAAACACCCACATCCAAAACTAATGAGACCAGCCAAACACCCCCAGTAACCAGCGATCCAAAAGGATCCAATGGAAACCCCAAATCGACCATCTCACAGAAATCCAACCCCATTAGATCGACATCAGCCACTGCTAAAGCAGCGGCGAAACCAGTAGATACGGTAGGATCCAGCTCTATTTTCAAGTACGGAATGTCGTTAACAGGCGCGAACAATGAGCTTATTTTTTCAGCACCTGTAACCCAGAAACCGCAGCCCGTAAATATGCCAGCCATTTTGCAGAACCTCTCTAAGTGCAGCAAGGAGCAGCTGGCTGAAATGACAGCGGTCCTTACCAATATGGGTAAGGGGGCAAGCCCATCACCGACAACGGCAGCTGTGGAGCCCGCAGCGAAAAAGCCGGAAGTGTCAACTCTAACCCCTGAGCTGAAAGAGCTCATTCAGCTAAGGAAAAAGGTATTGGAGCTGGAAGCTCGCAACCTGAATTGAGAATGGAGCGTGGAGGAAATAACCCCAGCTCGAATCAGCCCGGAGAAGCGGGTCCCTCGCAGTAGGTCACCGGCCGCAGAGCGAGGACCCAGCCCGGAGAGAGACAAACGAGCGCGAATCCAGGTTGTTCCAGATGATTCCCCATTTTGCCGGGAGATTCTGGAAGAACCCATGGAGAAGGTGAAGATGCCGAGCTGCAAGTACAATGGAACCACAACACCCAAAATCCACATATCAGCTTTCGAGAATCATATGGTACTCTACACCATGAGAGACTCAGTCAGGTGTAAGGCTTTCCCACCAACTCTGGAGGGGCTGGCGGCGGAATGGTACGACGCCATCCCCAAATGTTCTGTGTACTCATACAATCAGCTGAAGAGAATGTTCATGGAGCATTTCATAACCTTGGTGGACAGAACCAAGATAACAACCGAGCTGATGTCCCTAGTTTAGGGAAAGGATGAGCCCCTGAGGGAGTTCATCACCAGATTCAACAAGGAGGCAACAACCATCCCAAATATGAGCCAGGAGGTAGCGCTGTTAGAAATGCAGAGTGGCCTACTACCAGGGTCACCATTCAGAGCATACATAAGGCGTAAGAGCCTCAAAACGCTTGCTGAAGCGCTGGGTAAAGCGCATGAGTTCATCAAAGCAGACGAGACTAACAGAGGAATGATGAGTATGAAAGCAACAGGTGACTCAGTTAAGCGAGCATAGGTCACCCGGGAAGAGAACACACCCATGGTGGACCAGCCAACCAGGGCTGAGAAAAACCGTAGAGAAGTAGACAGGGCAGTGGGACTGAGAAGGTCCGATCCAAGGAGAGGGCCAAGGCCTGGGAAGTTTGATCAGTATACCCCACTAACCCATTCCAGATCTCACATATTCAGCGTAAATAAGGTTGATGATAAGTGGCAGAGGCCTCCAAGGATGGTAAACAGGAGTCGTGATACCAGTAAGTGATGTGACTTTCACGGGGATTATGGCCACACCACTGAAGAATGCTTGCACTTGAAGGACAACATAGAGGACTTAGTTAGGAGAGGATACTTGAGTCAATTTAAGCAGCGTGATGACCCTCCCAGAAGAAGGGAGGAGGATAAAGCGGGCCGAGCTGACCGTAGAGGAGGTCATAGGGGCCCAGCTAGAGACAAAGATAGAGATGGCAAGCCAGAGGGAATGGTGTACGTGATCAGCAGGGGTCCAGTGCATGGGGGGACAGTTAATAGAGCGCGGGCTGACCTGCGGGCAATGATACATCAAATAAACGACAATGATAAGCGTAGATGGCCACCTCTTCCCCCGCAGCCACGAGCCACGTTTGACGAGTATGACCAGAAGGGCATAATTTACCCTCATGATGACCCGCTGGTGGTGACAATGAGAATTGCAAACTGGGAGGTGGATAGAATACTGATAGACGGAGGCAGCTCAGCCAACATCATATACATCAGTGCGTTCAATGAGCTGAAGTTGGACAGAAAAGACCTAAAGAGAGTAAACTACGAGGTCACCGGATTTAATGGCTCGGGGCTTACCCCAGAAGGCATAATCGAACTCTCAGTCCGGGTAGTAGAGAGGTCAAGAAGGCGTGATGTCCGAGCAGAATTTTTCGTGATAAACTCCCCTTCACCCTACAATGTAATCATGGGAAGACCGCTCATCCACAAGATAGGCGGGGTGGTATCCACTTACCACCTAGCCATGGCTTACACAACTAATGAGGGTTGGTCAGCAAATCTCAAGGGAAGCCAAAAGACAGCCAAATAATGTTACATAACTGCCTTAAAGCAACCTGCCAAAACCAGACAGCAGTCCGGTTCCGAGAGAAGGCTCCCTGAGCAACCTGAGAGGAAGTCGAGGAAAAGGAAGCGTGAAGAGTATCACAGGGAAAAAGATAAATAGAAGTTGGCAATGGAAAACTTCGAGCCTGCAAAAGAAGAAATGGCCAGACCACTTCCCAGCGGGAGCATGTCACAGTCGAGCTCACAGAAGGTGATCCCTCGAGGACGGTGAAGATTGAGAAAGACATTGATCCAGGAGTAGGGTTGCAACTCATAGAGCTGCTGAGAAAGAATAAAGACATTTTTGCATTTTCCGCAGATGAGATGCCCGGAATTGACCCAGCAGTCATGGTGCATAAGCTGAATGTGAAGGAGGATATTAGGCCAGTCACGCTGAAAAAGCGAAGCTTCTCCACGGAGAAAAGCCAGGCAATCCAGGAAGAGGTGGAAAAACTCTTGGAAGCAGGATTTATTGAACCCTGTGACTATCCAGAATGGTTAGCCAACGTGGTCATGGTGAAGAAGGAAAATGGCCAATGGAGAATGTGTGTTGATTTCACGGATCTTAATAAAGCCTGCCCGAAGGACTATTACCCACTGCCACGGATAGATCAACTGGTAGACTCAACCAGCGGGCACGCCCTGCTAAGCTTCATGGACGCCTTCTCAGGGTACCATCAGATCAGCCTGCACGAGCCAGACAGGCAGAAAACTGCATTCATTACCGAAGGGGGAGTGTATAATTACATAGCTATGCCCTTCGGGCTGAAGAACGCTGGAGCAACTTTTCAGAAGGCAATGGGTAGAGTATTCCTTCACCGGAAGGGAAGAAATGTGGAAGTATACGTTGACGACTCAATTGTTAAGAGCGTCACACATGCTGGACATATCATGGATCTGGAGGAAACATTTGCATCCCTGAACAAGTATAGAATCAAGCTCAACCCGAAGAAATGTGTCTTTGGAGTGAGCTCCGGAAAGTTCTTGGGTTTTCTGATCAACGAGAGAGGAATATATGCCAACCCAGAAAAGGTAGAAGCAGTCCTCAGTCTGCCCGAGCCTAAGAGCATCAAAGATATCATGCGGTTGACAGGAAAAATGGCCGCACTGATCAGATTCATCAGCAAGTCAGCAGACAAAGCCTAGCCATTCTATCAGCTGTTGAAAGGAAACAGAGAATTCAAGTGGGGAACTAAGGAGAAAGAAGCCTTTGAGGGTATTAAGGAGCATCTGACTAAGCTCCCAACAATGATCAGCCCGGAGCTGAGGGAGAAACTACAGTTGTACATCTCAGCGTCAATACAGACAATCGCAGCCGTTCTGCTGGTAGAAAGACAGAAGAAATAAAGGCCGATATATTTCGTGAGCCACGTGCTGACCGAGGCAGAGCAAAGATACCCCCTAGTAGAGAAGCTAGCCTTCGCAGTGGTCACCGGATGATACTTTCCATGCTTGAGGAAAGTCGACAGATGATGAGATTGCAAGTCTTTGTGTATCGAGAACCTTGCGTCATGAAATGATGGTGGTTCGATTGTCCCCGAACGTGGGATGTAGATGGTCCGCTTGTCCCCAGACGTGGGTTGTAGTTGGTTCACTTGTCCCCGAACTTGGGTTGTTAATGGTTCGCTTGTCCTCGAACGTGGGCTGTAGATGGTCCGCTTGTCCCCGGACGTGGTCTATAGATGAGACCTGCAAAAATAAATTTGCCAATGGAATCGTATATATTGTAATTGACTTGACCATTGACTTGACCAAGTTTGACTTGATATGACATTACATGTGTATGAGTTGTGAGTTTGTGTGTATATGTGTGTGTGCAGACACAAGCAAACGAAGATGCAAAAGCAAAAAATTTCCGTCAATTTTTGTCATGAGTGGAGGGTACCGACTTTCTCTCGAAAAAGAAAGATGTGAAAGCTGAACTTTTATTTTCAAACTTTCCTCGATGAGAAAATTTTGAAAAAGTTTTTTTAAACTTCCCCAAAAGAAAAGACACGAAAAAAGGAAAGAAGTTTTGAACTTCCTCGTTGAGCAAGACAAAATGAATCGCATGGATTGAATTGCTTTTCTTAAAAGTAATGTATGCATGTTGCATGTCCTTAGGCCAGGAGGCTAAGGACAATTACATCATGTGACACGATGAATGAACTTAGGTCATGAAGCTAAGCATCATATATGGTGTAAAGAAACGATCTTGAGCATCACTTAGGTCTGGAAGCTAAGCACATATATACAGATGAAGTGAATATTGAGTATTGCAAAATTAATGTTGCTTAGGTCAAGGAGCTAAGATTGATATGCTTTGTATGATAACAAATCATTGATATATAAATTTTGCTCAGCACATTACGCGATGCATGAAACAATGAACATTGCTCAGGTCAGGAAGCTAAGCAAGTATACAATGTTTCTTGTAATGAATGTTGTCCCGAAAGATGATGAAACATGCACAGTGTTGAAGATTCCATGATAAAGGGTTCTTAAAGGGAAGGATGATTTATATAGATATGGATGTGTGAGTGAAGTGTGTGAATGTGATACTAAGGCTAGCTGCAAGGGTTATGGTTATGGAAATAGATGTGAGAAGAGTCAAAGATGATGACTCTTCAGGCTGGGTAGGCTAAATGATGTGGGTTCAAGCCCCCAAGTCTAGCTCTAAATGGGTAGGGGTAAGCATTGGATATTCTTTGACTCAATCAAGCATGGGTATGAATATAAATGTGAATATGAATGTGAATGTGGCCGCACCTCGATGTGAGGTTGCCTACGTATCTGTTAGGAATCAGGCCAACGTAGCTCTAACTGAACTTTGCAAAAGTGTATGTACTCCTCAAAGAGGTCTTTCAAGGGTTTTAATGTTGTTAATTTGATGGTTTAAAAAAGAAAAGGGTAAAAGGCTCAAGACCCAAGAAAATCCCTAAGATGTGTAATTGTGAATTTGAAATTTTTGAATTTTGCAAGTTTTATTTTTCATATATATATATATTTTTTTTTTTTTTTGAATTTCTTTTTTTTCATTCTTTTGAATCAATGTAGGCAATCTCAGATCATGCGGTCCATCACTCACTTAGCATTCATGTTTCTCAGGCACGGTACCAAGTACTCGATGAGAGACGCAATTCGAAATGTGTTCGTATAAAAGACATTGGAACACTTGCCCTTAGACATTGTTTTATTTTTGCTTTGATGCTTTTTTTTTTTACTTACTTTTTGAATGTTACACAAATTGCACATCTTCCAATTCCAGGGTTGAGTGAATGTGGGTTGAAAAAATGAAGGCCAAACATTAGACGAGGCTCAAAGTGGTTGATGAAAAAAATGGATATGTGATTGAATGGTTAATGGGGAATAAATGGGTTACAAAGGTGCCTCAAGTCATTGGTGTACCTTGTGTTTAGTTCGGCAATTTTTTTTTTTTTTTTTTTTTTTGCTAATCACATGATCGAATGTAAGAAAGAGATTCTCATTTATGAAGAAGGTAAGAAATGTGACACATAGACACATAAGGAGAACCTATGCTAGACTTTTTAGGGGGAAGGGTTTGAAACAAAAGAAGAAGAAAACATGAAATCTTGGTGAGAATCTTGCATCGTGCTTTGTCTTCATGACTGTTTATGAGTTACTTCTTGCCGCCTACTAAGGAAAAAAGTTTCTTGTTGTTGATGCTTTTATTGGAAGGAAAGAAGGAATGAGTGACGTTCCCCTTATTCTTCCAACTATTGTCTATTGATTTTAGACTCAAGTACTGTGTAAGGACGAACTCATCTAATGCATTAACTCAATACTCGGATTGGAAAGGAAGAGTGTATGAAACAATTTTGAAAACTTATGAGAAATACTCCACTCATTTCTATTACGACGGAAAGCGATGCATGCATGGTCCTAGTATACGATCATAAACAATATAGTGCATTACACGAAGACAAAGTTTGTGCAATGACTCGACATGTGTGATTAGGTGAGTTTATTAAGACTCGTGGTATGATCGCATGGCTAGACATGAGGACGCTGTGAAAAAAAAAGAACCTAATGACCAAATAGCACGGAAGACTAAAAGACAAACTAACTTGATTAATTTTGTCCAATTTTAATGTTTATGTTATTTACTAGGTGAAAACGGTCCATTGGAAATCGTTAGTCATAAATAAGATCAACCACAATCAAAGACAAAATACACATGTTAAGGTTAGCATAAAAAATCACAAGAAACTAGGAAGAGGACTAGAATTCTAGAAGAGTTATGACTCATGGGTATAAAAAAAATAAATAAATAAAAATAAAAATCTGTAATCCTATGTTATACGAGTTGACACGAATTAAAGGACTTGGCTAAGAATAGCTTGACACGAAAAGATATAAAAAAAATTTAAAAAAAAAAAAAGAAAGTTGACGCTAAAAAGACACCTAAACTGGAAATGTTGTAGTATATCGGTTATAACTTTTGATCTGTGACTTTGATGTGGACGAAACCAATATTCCAAATGAAAGATAAAACTCGGTGCTACAGATCCATAGGTGGTACGACACGTAACTCTTTCTAGAACTCCGGATATGACCAAAACAAGTTGACTCTTGTGCAGTATACGGGAATAAAAATCCGGGTGACTCAAAAATTTTAAAAAAAATCTATGGCTTGACTCTAATAATAAAAAAAAAAGTTTGATAAGAGAAAAATAAATAAATAAAAATTAAAAATAATGCTCATATAAGCACATTGTCATGCATGATGCAATGAAGTTCGCAACCTGAAGTCAAGTTCTATGTTCGACTATGGTCAAGCTTTTGGGTCTCAAAGGGTACCATGGTTCAGAGTTTGGACGCGTTAGCAAGGCAACCTCCCTTGAGGGTGTATGCCAACGGGCGGCTCCGCGAGTTCGTAATAAAATCGAACTCGACTCCATGGTTTGGGTGGATTTAAAAACTCGGATGAACCCTTATTGCCATTAGCGTTTTTGGGTTGATAGAGCATAAATCCCCCGAGCTAGC